GGGTGTTGACTTCCTGTTTTATTTCCAGAAAAGCACAAGAGTATTCAAAACCTATAAATAGTATTTTGAAATGGATTAGCATCTACATTTGTTATATATCATACAATCTGAGAATTTTAGAAGGATCTATAAAACAAGAAATGCTTTTTGGAAAGCAAAAATTGAGAAGCCAAGAGCATGGACAGTTTTACTTAACATTTTGGGCTTCAGTTTCCTCAACTGTAAAATAAAACTTTGGACTAACTGAGCTCTTAGATTCTATGCAGCGATTTGTTTTGGTGATTATATTTCCCTGGGTCATCTCAAAGGGTGGGCAGGGACACGCATGTAGGGACAGTCTCCATCTTATTAACCAGTATGTTCCCCATGCTTAGCACAGGATCTGGCACATAGTATTTTTATCCAAAAATATTTTTTGAATAAATGTCTACCGTATTCTGTTTTAAAAGATTTTCTTTGGCTGTGAGGCACTACAGTTGAAGTTAAAATTAACATGAAAATCCTTCCCAGGAATATATCTGTTGTATTGGCAATGTGTTTTTATTTTTCCAGATTTCTTCCATTCCTAAGTTACTGACTGGCCATTCACAAAAGGGTATATTAAGCTTTGAAGGTTTCCAAATACCTCTGGTGAGGGAATTTCTACGAGTGTCCAAGTGTTTCTCACTAACCTTGAAGTTTATTTATACCTGCAGTATTTTTGGTATTTAACAGATAATAACATATTTACATTCCATCAACACTTCATTGTTTTTCCTTTAAAAGTTCTTTAAAAAACTTTTTTTAACAATCTGCCCTGGTTTTATTCCCCTCCTCTCCATTAGTTACCAGTGCTGACTCTATTCTTTTGACTGCCAGTATTCATGCAGAAAACTTAGAGATTTTTGCTGCCAAAGATGCGCCCCTAAAGAATAAGAACTTCTTACAGAATGCATACGCTTTAGGGGCATCTGTCTCTAACTTGACAGAAATAAAATAATAAAGTTCTGTGTTTCCTTCACACATTTAGAAGCCAG